GGGGAAGAGACAATGGGCCAGGACAGATCAGTGGCAAAGAGCAGAGACGCCAGGTTCAAACCCAGCTGCCAGCCTCCACCAGTGTATGAAGACTCAAAAAAGAAGGCTCTAAAATTCTTCATTCTTTAAAAAAAAAAATCTTTTTTAAAAGTTGCATTCTCTTGTTTTTCTTTTTTTAAATTCCTCTTTTACAGTCACCTCATTATATTTACATCTTTTTATTTTATTCTTTACTATATGATCAGAGTCTCTTATTTCATGCTTTTCAACTTTTTTGTTTTGAAAAATCTACATTCTCAGCAGCTTCACTACTTTATTATTATTATTTACAATTTATTCATTTTGTATTCCAGCTGTAGCCCCCTCCCTCATCTCTTCCAGGTCCCACTCTCCCTTCCTCTTCCTTCCCTACCACTCTTCCCTAGTCCACTGAGAGGGGAGGTCCTCCCCTACTGTCTGACCCTAGCCTATCAGGTCTCATCGGGACTGCCTGGATCCTCTCCCTCTGTGTTGGCTAGGTAGCCCTAACAGGGGGAAGTGATCAAGGAGCAGGCAACCGAGTTCATGTCAGAGACTGTCTCTTCTCCTCTTACTAGGGAACCCGCATAGAGATCTCAAGAAATTAAACACCAATAAACCAAATTAAAAAATGGGGTACCGAGCTAAACAGAGAATTCTCAACACAGGAATATCGAATGGCAGAGAAATAAAGGAATATTCAATGTCCTCAATCATCAGGGAAATGCAAATCAAAATGACTCTTGAGATTCCATCTCACACCCATCAGAACTCAACAACTCATGTGACAACACATGCTGGAGAAGATGTGGACAAAGGGGAACCCTCCTGCATTGCTGGTGGGAATGTAAACTTGTACAACCACTTTGGAAATCAATCTGGTGCTTTCTCTGAAAATTGGGAATAGTGTTACCTCAAGACCCAGCTATACCACTCTTGGGCATATATCTGATACATACTCAACCATACAACAAGGACATTTGCTCAACTGTATTCATAGCAGCTTTTTTCTTAATAGCCAGAATCTGTAAACAACCTAGATGTCTCTCAACTGAAGGACAGATACAGAAATTGTGGTACATTTACACAATGGAATATTATTTGGCTACGAAAAACAAGGAATTCATGAAAGTTGCAGGCAAATGGATGGAGCTAGAAAAAACCATTCTGAGTGAGGTATCCCAGAAGCAGCGAGATATGCATGGTATATACTCATTTTTAAATGGATATTAGCCATGTTATATAAGATAAACACTAAAAGTCTACAGACCTAAAGAAGCTAAACGACAAGGAGGACTCTAGGGAAGAAGCTTAATTCACCTCTTCTTTCTGGTTTTCTTTCATCACTTTCTCTTTGTCCAAGCTTACTACTTCTTCAGTACTCCTTTACCTGTCTGCTTCTTCTAGTTCATTTGTTTATTCTTGTTACTGACTGTAGTATCTTTCTTTCTTCCCCTCTCTCTTTTTTTTTTTTTTTTGTTTTCAAGACAGGGTTTCTCTGTGTAACCTTGGCTGTCCTGGACTTGCATTGTAGACCAGGTTGGCCTGACTGTAATTTCTAACTTTAAGGCCTACTCAATACTATTTCTACCATTCATTCATTCATTCATTCATTCATTCATTCATTCATTCATTCATTCGTGTGTGTATGCACACATGTGTACCAT